TCTCTCTCTCTCTCTCTCTCTCTCTCTCTCTCTCTCTCTCTCTCTCTGTCTGTCTCTGAGAATGTAAAGGTGACACTCTGGAGCCTGATTGGGGAGTTCAGGGACTCCCAGAATCCCCTGTGAGTGGTGGGTTGTGGGAATGTTGTCTTCAGAGTGATGGTTCATGACTCTCATTTTCTAGCATGAAGACAGCAGCCTGGAGTGGACAGAGTGACAGACACTGTGTTCAGGTCTCTCTTGTGATGTCTAGAGTCCTCGGTTTTCTTTAGACAACAGTGTCTGAAGTTCCTTGTGATCCTTTGGGTTCAGAGTGAAGAACTGTGGAGCCCAGCCTGCTCTCCATTTAAGGACCTTGTTGCTGCACTGCCCTGTGTCCCCTTCTATAGCCAACCTTCCTGGTTTGAAGTGGAAAGACAGGGTTCATTGGAAAGTCAGTTGGATGGTGTTTTGCTGGGGCAAACACATGAAATGTTTTATTAAAGTGGACACAGGTGAGAAAGACTAAAGCCGACTGGTGAAGGAATGTTTCACTGAAGTAGACACAGGAGAGAGAATGTTCTGCTAAAGCAAGCACATGAAAGCACACATGATGAAGGATTTTTTGCTAACAACGTGCATGTACTGGTCTACCTTACATTGCATAGTTGAGCTGCATTTGTTGGTACTCCAATGTGAGAAACAAACCAAAAAACTGCTGGTGGTGTGCTGCGGTTTGTGGCTACTTTCATGTACTCTGGCTGATAGGATGCCTGTGCTGAGGGACGACTCCTGCTGAGGCAAGGCCCATGGAGGACACCTCATGTTTGGAGGGTATAAATAGGACTCCACAGAGTGACCGAGACAGAGCTTGGCTTCCTGGTACTGCTAGCTATGCAACACTTGTGGGTCTTGGGTCTTCACTGGTCTTTGCTTCCCTGAGTGAAGCATAGCTGAGAACTTCTGCTGTTTCTGTTGGTCCCTCCTGCTGACTGGAGCCTAGTCCTGCCTGTCTCTGCTAGGTTGTGTCACAGATGTTGCTAACCAGACTCTACCAAACCAGACTGCTGGTGTATCCCTGATGCGTTTGCAAGTGGTTAGAGCTGCCGCTGGTTTCCAGACAATACAGACAGGAGATGCTCCAAAGAACAATCTCTAAACAAGTCCACTTATCCTGCATCCTATAGTTCTTTTCCACTATCTCTGGTGGGTTCCAAAGAAAATTAAAGTGTTTAAGCCATCTTTAAAAATAGAATTTGAAAAAAATTAAAGTTACACTAGTCCGGCAGCCGGGAGGGAACATCTGCATCCTGTCAGCTCCATGCTGCCCTGAGCTGCAGCTCCTCACTTCCACACAGAGAACAAGAATCTGAATGTGAACTAGAAGTATACATTACAGAAACTTATTAAAAGATTTCTAATTCATTTTATACAATTTTGGCAAACTCAAGTAAGTGCATTAACACATTGTTTATGTTGTATGGATGTGTGTGCTTAAAAAAATTGATGTTTCTTCATTAACAAAAGGCATTCTTTTTGTATATCTTTATTCATTTTAGTTTTTATTTTATGCCTTTACTGATGTGTACCTGTGTGCCTACGACATGAGTGTGGGTACTCCATGGAAGCCAGAAGAGGGTGTTGCCTTCCCTGGAGCTGGAGTTACAGCCAGGCAGTTATAATCCACCCAAGGTGGGTGCTGGGAATCAAACTTAGGTTCTCTCGGAAAGCAGCAAGTGCTCTTAACCACTGAACCGTCTCTCCATACCCTACATCTGTATTTTTGAATGACATTTATATTTTTTTATTTCTTTGGGTAACTGAAAACATGATGAGGACTCATGTCCCTCATGAGATTTGATCAATCTCCTCAAAAGACTTGGATTGTCAAGATGGGCATAGTGGAACATGTCTATAACCCAAGAACTCTGGAGGCAGAGATAATGGGATCACCAATCTGAGAGCAGCCTGGAGTGTACCCACAGCATAGGTATAGCCAAACACTACCTCAAATGAATAAAAACAGGTGTTGGGGCAGAGGTATAAACAAAATACCAGATCAACCAAAGCTTAAATGTATAGAAACCTACTATTTTATAATGTGGCACACTCAAGGTACATATATTTACAAGCAGGCAAAAACACACATTCATGTAAAATAGAATAAATCTTTTTTAAAGATTTGTTTTATTTATTTCATGTAAATGAGTACATTGTAGCTGTCTTCAGACACACCAGAAGAGGGCATCAGATCCTGTTACAGATGGTTGTGAGCCACCCTGTGGTTGCTGGGAATTGAACTCAGAACCTCTGGGAGAACAGTCAGTACTCTTAACCACTGAGCCATTCCTCCAGCCCCGGAATAAATCCTAAAATTAAATAAAAAGGAGCTTGAACATGAGTAAATAATGCTGCCATCAGAAGTCACTGGTCTTTAACTCTGAATCCCACTGCTGTGTGTGGGATATCTCGCTACAACTCCATTGCCAGGGAACCCCCCATCCCCCGACCTAAGCTTCAAAGACAGCACAAGCTAGTGCCATTGTTCTTGGTTGGTTGTCCACCATAGATAGATGCTAAGACTCAACTTCTGAAGACACCGCACACTTTGAATACAAGACACACACACACACACACAAAACCAAGCTGAAAGCTTCCTCCTGATGTTTGGGGATTGGATCATGCAGTCTGTGACCCAACAGTCATGAATCCCTTGATGGACTCATAATATGGTGGCATGATCAGGAGTTGGGGGATGATAGGAAGGGGTGTGTGGTCATAGAAAGGAAGCCACTGTGTTATCTACAGTTGTCCCAGCTGTAGTCCCTGCGAGCTGTAATACCAACCATCTAGGCGGGATCTGTCCACTCGTGTAATAGTGACCGTTCAGACAGGATGTGTCCATTGGCTCAATAGCGGCACGATTGTCCAGTGATTCAGAAATGCCACCCATAGGTTCAAGCATTTGAACTCTTGGCCCATAGTTGGTTGTACTGTTGGGGAGTCTTGGGACTTTTAGACTGCAGCCTTCCTGGAAGAAGTAAGTCACTGAGGACAAGCTTTGGGAGTTTACAACCTTGACTCATTTCCAGTTTGCTCTGCCCTTAGTGTTCATGGATGACTGAAGATTTGAGCTCTCAGCTTTGCACCCTGGCTGCCCGACATTATGCCTCCCTCTCCCTCTGAAACCATAAGAAAATCTTTCTTCTATAAGTGATTTTAGGAGGGGGTGGAAGAGGACAAGGAGGGAGGGAAGGAAGGAAGGAGAGAAGGAAGGAAAGAAAGAAGGAAGGGAAGAAAAAAGGAACAGAAGGAGGAAGGAATAGAGGGATGGAGGAAGGAAGCAAGAAAGAAAGAATTTTGTAGTTATGAGGCTGATCAGCCTGCAACATCTATCAACCCATTGATCACTATGGTTGATTGATTCTACTGATTTGGCTAGCTCAGCAGATGTCCCCTTCCTTCCTCACCTCTCCACAAGCCTGCGTTTATCCCCAAGCTGCAGGCTCAGAGGACAAGTAATACCTCCATGAATATAGGCGGACTGGTCTATGGTTCCCTGCTAGAACTTTCAGCAGGCTCTCAAGAAAGATTCTTGTGTCTACAATCTGAGGTGATACCTGCCTGTAATATTCTTTTCTTTTTCTTTTTCTTTTCTTTCCTTTTTTCTTTCTTTCTTTTTTTTACAGTTAGAGTACTTTTATCTATGAGAACTCTTTTTTAATTGTTTTTATTATTTCTTATTGTGTGCACATGTGAGCCCAGGTGACTATAAAAGCTAAAGAAAGGTATTGAATCCCATGGAGCTGAAGTTAGCTGTGGTCATGGGCTTCCAGCTCTGGGTGCCAAGATTTAAGATTTATTTATTTATTTTATGTATATGAGTACACTGTTGCTGTCTTCAGACACTCCAGAAGAGAGCATCAGATCCCATTACAGATGGTTGTGAGCCACCATGTGGTTGCTGGGAATTGAACTCAGGACCTCTGGAAGAGCAGTCAGTGCCCTTAACTACTGAGCCATCTCTCCAGCCCAAGACACGTGTTCTTAACAACTGAGCCACCCCTCCAGCTCCTCTGTAATTTTCTGTCTTTTAGTCTCCCCTCCCCACCCTCCTTAGGTTTTGCTATTTCAACTTCAGCATTTCCATTTTACTGAAATTTGCAAAAGATATTAACTTTCTCTAGACGGATCCAGAAGTTTTTTTGTTTTCTTTTTTGTTTTCTCTTTTTCTCCCCCAACCCCCAGAATAAGGTATCGAGGTGGAATTGAGCCGTTCATCTGCCTCATGCGCTGTTTTGTTCTACAATTATCAGAATGTAGGATGTGCTGGAGACACTTGGGTCTGTGTTTGCTGATATTTTGTCCATCCACTCTACCAGCACAGAGGTGAGGAATTTCCAGCCTATAGTAGGAACCTGTCTGCCCAGTGTCTGCTGCTATAGCTGAGAGGACCCCTGCTTCTGCAAATGAGTGTCAGAGATAAGTTTGCCTCTGGTTCTGAAACCCCAATAGCAGAGAGCAAAAATAAAAGCTGAGGTGCTTGCCTGGAGAAATGTAACTTCATACCCAGTGGGCTCCTCCCTAGTGGGTGGTCCTTGTAGCAAGCAGCCTCCAGGGTCCTACACTGAGCTAACCTCAGAGACCAGAATCTGAGCAAGTGGGGTAGGGAGGGCTCTGGCCTGTGGAATGCCAGCCCAGAGAACTTCAACAAACCCCAAGACTCTTGTTTTAAGGTGGAAGTGAGTGCTTGAGGGACCAGTCCAGATGGTACTGGCAAGGTCCCGCCTTGATGAGGGGTGTGGGTAGTACTTTGAGCCTGAGAGGCTACCTCCAGCAAAGTGGAGGAGAAGAGACATTGACAATGCCAGATGAAAATATCTGATCGACATATGAAAGAGAGACAGGGGTTGAAGAGATGGCTCAGCGGTTAAGAGCACCA